GTAGACCACCAGCCTCGCCATTACGGTAATTAAGATAAAGCAACACAAGGAGTAATAAACTGCCTCCATAACTGATAAATGATCTTGATAAACCGTGAGGAGTGTGTTGGGCGCTGGCCAGGGGATATCTGGCTTGACTTAGCTATTAAGAGACTAGGTCAAAGGTCAAGGTTATTGTCACTGGCTAATTAAAGATTATTCCACCAGAGGGACTTACATTACACACACACTCGGATCCCCACACAAGTATATCCAAGCCTATAATTTACCTCAGTCAACAAAATATCTCTTAAAACGTCATCACAGGAGGTGTAAAGCTTCCATGTTTCTTCTTGTCTTAACCAGTAATATGTTGGCTGGGTGATGAGGGAGCTGGACCTGTTTCACCTGTCTCAGTCAACCAGTGGCCAGACATAGCTAACATGTAAAGGGTAACTTTGTCTACGAGTTGGTTCTTCTTCTTCTTCTTTCCCTAATAATTTTAATCGTCTTTGTAATTAACTAGGATTGTGATCTAACCTAACCTTTGTGTTTATATAAATATCTTTACACGTAGATACACCTGCAATAATAGTCTAGTCTGATCTTTGCCGCTACAACATCAGCCTGACTTAATTCCACAGACGGATCTCACAGCCAACATGAACTAGTTACCAGCCACTAGCCAGGCCATTAATCTCGCTTTGTGTGTGTATCTTTGTTTACGTTCTTGTTGGCTCGGATTAAAGTGTTAGTCCCGACTACCGTTCTCGGCTATGAATCCGACTCGCTAGAATTATATCGAGGAGTGGTGAGGAATGTGTACGGCCGACGAGAAATTGTCAGAGAGGTTTTATGCATTTTGAATTATACAGCTAGAAATGTTAGTGAAATCGTCCACACACACACACACACTACTACTACTACTACTACTACGAGTGCTTTGCTGTCACTCAGAAACGAGTATGACGATCATCCAGCTATGATACAATGATATGAGTTATTAAGGATGTCACTTAGGATGGTGAGATCTGAGGCCGATACGGGACCGACAGAGTCGATCACAGATATTGCACATGTGGGGGGCTACATCTAGTGCGGGAGGGAAGGCGGCAGCGTCTTTCCGGCGTTGGCGCTTGTCTGCCTCGTTATGCAGAACATCCACATCGGTGTTTCGGTTGAGCAGTGAATGGTAGTGCTCTTTCCAGTGCTGAAGGATGCCTTCATTGTCTTTAATTATGGGGTTAACGTCGGATGAGCGGAGGGGGAGCTGCGCCACGAGTGATCGGCCCATAAAATGTTTTATTGGAATTGAAAAATTCGCGCATCTTGTGCTGATCTGCAAATTTACATGTTTCGCAGGTTTTATTTTTAAACAAGTCGTTCTTTAGATTGCGAAGTTCCCGTTGGGCCGCCGCTTTCTTCTTGAGGAAGGTATCAGCTTTGGTCCGAGACTGAGAGTTGCTCTGTCATTCAGTTACAGCAGCACGTGTATTCTGCTGTATTCTTTCGATCTGGCCGAGGGTCTCTCTGCAGGTTTTTTGTCATGACAGTGTCGAGAATGTCCCATTCGGCACTGGGGTTTGGGTTGTTTGTTGTCGGGTAGTAAATCAGCCCCTGTTCGAGCTGCTCTCTGAAAGCATGTGCTATTGCTGGATCCTCCAGACGCTTATTGTTAAAACTTCTTCTGGAGTCTTGTTGCCTTCGCCGTTTTGGGGCAACGTGAAGTGAGAGGTTGTTTCTGACGAGCAGATGATCAGTGTCGCAGTGGTCTGAGTCACGCATGGCACGGGTGAAGAGGACATCTCGGTAATCTCTTTCTCTGACAATGATGTAGTCAATGAGATGCCAGAGTTTGGATCGTGGGTGTTGCCACGAACCCTTGAACTCGTCGGCCTGCCTATACAAGGTATTGGTGATAGTGAGGTTGTGTGCAGCACACTTGCTGAGGAGTAGGCCATTGGGATTACACTTGCTATATGTCAGCCTCTCTGCCAACTCTGGCATTAAAGTTACCAAGGAACACAACCTTATCTTCTCTGGGGATAGAGGTTAGCAATCTGTAGAGGTCGGCGTAAAAGGCCTCCTTGATGTCATCCTCTGCATCCAGTGTTGGGACGTATGCACTGATGAAAAAGGCATGACGTAGGTGATTCAGTGGGACTTGGAGCGTCATGAGGCGCTCGTTGATCCCAATAGGCATTTCAGTTAGCCTACTGTATATAGAATGCGTTGGCGGATGGCAAAGCTAACTCCATAAATAGGGTTTCTTTCCACAGCAGCCTTACCCTTCCCGAAGAATGTATAGCCAGACCCCGTTCTTTGAGTTGACCCTCTTTTGCCACAAGGGCAGTTCTTCTTTCAGGACGCTCATTTGTGCCAGTACCCAGAAGGGTCGTGACATTCCATGCAGCGACCATAAGAGGTTACATAGTTTGTTTTTGTTTGGATCTGTCATTATGTTTTCGACCGCGCAAGGATGACCTTACTGGGTGCGGTTGCCCAGTCAGGCTGTTTTATTAGGCAGGCAGGCAGGCACACACACGCACACACACACACACACACACACACACACACACACACACACACACACACACACACACACACACACACACACACACTAAAATCTGCAGTGGGTCCATGATCAAATGAACACGCGAGTTGCCAAATATCTCCGTCATGATATTGTCAAATTTTGAAACTTTTTAGAACACCATTAACCACACACACACACACACACACACACACACACACACACACACACACACACACACACACACACACACACACACACACACACACACACACCACGTGAGGTCCTCATAACACCATCTGTGAGGGAATTACTACACCACGTGAGGCCCCTCACAACACCATCTGTGAGGGAATTATTCTACTCGTGAGGCCCCTCATAACACCATCTGTGAGGGAGTTACTACACTACGACAGGCTCCTCATAACACCATCTGTGAGGGAATTACTACACCACGTGAGGCCCCCATAACACCATCTGTGAGGAGTTACTACACTACGACAGGCTCCTCATAACACCATCTGTGAGGGAATTATTACACTCGTGAGGCCCTCATAACACCATCTGTGAGGGAGTTACACTACGACAGGCTCCTCATAACACCATCTGTGAGGAATTTACCACCACGAGGCCCCTCATAACACCATCTGTGAGGGAGTTACTACACTACGACAGGCTCCTCAAACACCATCTGTGAGGGAATTATACTTCAGGAGGCCCCTCATAACACCATCTGTGAGGGAGTTACTACACTACGACAGGCTCCTCATAACACCATCTGTGAGGGAATTACACCACGTAAGGCCCCCATAATACCACCATCTGTGAGGAGTTACTACACTACGACAGGCCTCATAACACCATCTGTGAGGGAATTATTACACTTCAGAGCCCCTCATAACACCATCTGTGAGGAGTTACTACACTACGACAGGCTCCTCATAACACCATCTGTGAGGGAATTACTACACCACGTGAGGCCCCTCATACCATCTGTGAGGGAATTATTACACTTCGTGAGGCCCCTCATAACACCATCTGTGAGGAGTTACTACACTACGACAGGCTCCTCATAACACCATCTGTGAGGGAATTACTACACCACGTGAGGCCCTCATAACACCATCTGTGAGGGAGTTACTACACTACGACAGGCTCCCCATAACACCATCTGTGAGGGAATTACTACACCACGTAAGGCCCCTCATACCATCTGTGAGGGAGTTACTACACTACGACAGGCTCCTCATAACACCATCTGTGAGGAATTACTACACCACGTGAGGCCCCTCATAACACCATCTGTGAGGGAGTTACACTACGACAGGCCCTCATAACACCATCTGTGAGGAACTACTACACCACGTGAGGCCCCTCATACACCATCTGTGAGGGAATTATTACACTACGTGAGGCCCCTCATAACACCATCTGTGAGGGAGTTACTACACTACGACAGGCTCCCTCATAACACCATCTGTGAGGGAATTACTACACCACGTGAGGCCTCTCATAACACCATCTGTGAGGGAGTTACTACACTACGACAGGCTCCTCATAACACCATCTGTGAGGAACTACACCACGTGAGGCCTCTCATAACACCATTCTGAGGGAAGTATTACACTACGACAGGCTCCTCTTAACACCATCTGTGAGGGAATTACTACACCACGAGGCCTCTCATAAGATACATACATATATATACATATATATATATTATTATTATTACACACACACACAGTCAGCCATTAACACGTATTCTTATTATCATTTTCGATTAAGAAACTATCCACCTCGAGCGTCACTATGATACACCTGTGGCCACGAGCCCCCATTTATACTGTATGTATGAATAGCCAGCAGTAACACCAGGGCAGCTATCATCCTTATTACCTTGTCAACCCCCGGGTGAGACGGGTTTTCATAACACCAAACAATTTTAGTAGACAAAACATCCACACTTGGTGTTGTCTTCCCCCCAATTATCAAGGCGTTCGTTTACTGAATGTTTAATGGTATGATATTCTCAGGCAGGTCACCAGACGAAAGAAAACAGGCGGTAGGGATTCGATTCATTTTCTTCTTGGTGAGTTTCTCTAATGATGTCTTCAGTGTTTTCACCCCGCTAGTGTGTCTTGTGTGCATAGGTAAGTCGTGTCTTGTGGTGTCTTGACCTGTACCTCATTCTCAGCAACAACCTGGGTTATTACTCTTACTATTAAACGCACGCATACACACACGCACGCACGCATGCACACACGCACGCATGCACACACGCACGCACGCACAAATTGAAGAAAGAGTATTCAGTCGTCGTCGGAAGTAAAAGACAGGGACTACTTCCCCGCCGCCTGGCCTCTGGTATCTGACGTGATCGGTCCGCTTGTGTACAATTAGCGGGGAGTGAGGGCGTGCGTGAGTGTTGTCCCCAGCCCTGGTGCCAGGCAAGAGCCAGGCGCGGGCCACCAGTGCCACAGCTGCCGCGGGAGGGGACGCACGCCCATCTCTGGCCTCTCTCACCCCACGCGGCCTTCCACACCTCGCACGCCTCAAGACGATGACCTCCTCCTCTTTCTCACTACTGAGGGGAGGAATTGTCTCTCTGGTTTGGCATTAATCGTTCCTCGTAGATTACCGTGACGAGAAGGGACTGCTGCACTATAATAAAAGATGTGAACGAGTGATGAAAACATAAGCAACAAACATTGAGAATGAACACTACTGGACTTAAACTCGCTCGGACTTGTCACTGTTTGTGAAGATCACTATGAGAACTGATTACTGGCCTGGTTTTATGGAGGTCTCTGAACTGATTCTCTTTAGAAGAGAACATTATCTCCAAGAGAATGGTGCTGTGGACTGGCAAGGCGCCCATAATTAAGTAGTTATGAGACAATTGCTTAACACGTCGTAATAGTCTCGTGTCCCAGAAAATATCTGCGTCGTGTAAGAATGAGGTGAAGATTGTTCTCCTCTTCGTCAGTATGGCTCCTGCTGCCCTGGTCTCGGTTAATGGTCGTGTTGAACGAATGTGTAAACAACACTGTATAACTTTATGAATCTGTCATTGAAAGCAGTACACGAGTCTCTGAGGCTTCGCTAGCGTACACTGAATGCATCAATACTTCGATATGAAGGAAAATGAGACTTGTAGTAGATGATACACGCGAATGTTTAAAACGAATTACCTGACGATGTTGTGATGCAGACCACAGCGAGGAGCACTGGATATCACCCGCACGTGGAGCTTGTGTCCTGAAACTGGGTGTTATTATACTTATGATTGATAACGGGAAATAAAGTATCAATCAACAAAATGTGCTATGTAGATAAAAAACACTAAATGCATGAAACTTCACCAACATTTAATGACATTAGAAAACGATTCCCATCTCCTTCTTAGATCAAGTTAACATAAATCTTTCGTCTCAGTCTAAGATTTCTACAAGGTTTCTTCTCTTCCCCTCAACACACCAAACACAGGATTGGTGAAATCTCTGGCACACTCGCCAACACTTCAACACTTCTACCCATCTTTCCTGAATTCTCATCTATTAATTTTTCCCTCTCAAGGAGACCATAGGTGTTGTGGCCCTCAAGACAAACCGTCAACAGAAGAACCTCCTCACTGGCCCTCTCCCACCATCGAGGTCCCCGTCTTAACTGGATCTGTCGACATAAAGTTTCGTCAGAAGGCTCCATCTACACTGGACTCCTTCTAGAGAGTCACTCCTCGATCGGAACAATATCATCTCCTCTAACTTTCCTGTCAAGGGAAGTCATATCTCCATCAGCTTAGCTTCCAAAAGGCCTTCTGTTGGCTGGAGGACCATGGCTACTAACACCACCACAACCAGCTCCTCCTCCTTCATGGGCTTCTCCTTCTGTCTCCACCGCCACCTGCTGCTGCTACTCCTGCTTTCCTCTCTACTAGCTCGTCCAGGTAAGTCCCAATGCTAAATATTCAACTAAATTAAATCCTTCATCTTGACGGCCCTCACCCAAGGACCTCATGATCGTGTTTACATTGTGCTTCATTATTTCTACTCTCGTGTTGTGTATACTAGTTAATGTTCTCATCCCAAGGTAGACGAGAGGAATGTTTTCTTCTCTGTCTTGAGGAAGGAGTGAGGGGGCGGGAAGTGTACCTTAGTGTCTAATACACAATATGCTTCAAGTGACACATCAGAGTATAGTGTAATTAAATTGGATTAAGCTTATTCATGAAAAGATATCAGAAAGAAGAAGTAGATTATCGTTTATTCATGAAAAAATAAATAAATAAAAAGTAAATCGTAGTTTATTAAAATTCGAATAAGTTCAATGAGAGAATTGTGGATCACATGTGGCTGCTTGGCTGTCACTGTTTCATTTCACCTGTGTTAAAAAAAAAAAAACTAATTAGAAGGATGTACAGCCACGAGGCATTACTAGTACAAAGCAATTAAGTGAACAATCAAAAACGAGAAAGATTTAAAAATGAAGTTCACATACACACACACACACACACACAGAATACACCGACAGTTCACAATTCTGAACAAGTAATTATTCATCAGGATGTGAACAATGAATTACTAAAATACAGAGACGAATATAACGGTACACGATGAGTTATAACAAAAGACGGTGATAAAATTACTTCAAGGTGAGAGGGGAGGAGGGAAGGGGTAGGGGAAAGGGGTAGGAGGGAAATGGGGTGGGAGGGAAGGGGTAGTGTGGGTAGTTGGTGGAGGAGGGTGTAACAATAAAAGTAAAAGTAAATGAATAAAAATAAATACAAGAAATAAGTAATAAATAGTAAGAAAAGGTAAACAAACACCAATTATTGTTACAGGGGAGGGGGGTAAGGTGGGTGGTGGGGAGGCAGGGAGGGGGTAGTGAGGGTGGTTAGTGGGGTGGGGAGGAAGGGGAGGAGGGTTGGTTGGGGGAGTAGGAAGAGGTGTAGAGTAGGTGGTGGGGGGAGGGAGGGGGGTGATGGAGGAGGGAGGGAGGGGGTGGAGTGGAGAGGGAAATAGATTAAGAGAATCTAAAAAAAAATAAAGTTTCTTTCAAAATTAACAATAAAAGTCGGTATCTTGGTCATTTTTTCCTCTGTAATATCATTTTTTTACATTGAATGATTAATACATAAGGAAGAACATCTTAAATTAATAAGAGCCTACAATAAGTGGAGCCTAAATGAAGAGGAGCCTAAAATAAGAGGATCCTAAAATAAGAGAATAAGAGGAGCCTAAATTAAGAGGAGCTTAAAATAAGAGGAGCCTAAAATAAGAGGAGCCTAAAATAAGAGAATAAGAGAGCCTAAAATAAGAGGAGCCTAAAATAAGAGCCTAAAAATAGAGCCTATACTTTAGAGGCCTAAATTAAGAGGAGCCTAAATTATAAGGAGCCTAAAATAAGAGGAACCTAAATTAAGAGCCTAAATTAAGAGGCCTAAATTAAGAGGATCCTAAAGTAGGAGAATAAGAGGAGCCTAAAATAAGAGGATCCTAAAGTAAGAGAATAAGAAGAGCCTAAATTAAGAGGAGCCAAAATTAAGAGGAGCTTAAAATAAGAGGAGCCTAAAATAAGAGGAGCCTAAAATAAGAGGAGCCTAAAATAAGAGGAGCATACAATAAGAGGAGCCTAAATTAAGAGGAGCCTAAATTAAGAGGAGCCTAAAATAAGAGGAACCTAAAATAAGAGTAATCTAAAATAGAAGGAGCCTAAAATAAGAGGAACCTAAAATAAGATAAGCCTATTTTTTTACGGGGAATAGCCCACCCGGGAACAGGTCATCAACCTACAACGGGATTTAGGGAGGGGGGGTAGAGTAGAAAGAAAAATTAAATTAAAAATTAGAAGAGAAAAAGACTATGTTAATCTACAACACGAAGATGCCGGAAAGCAGCTTTTTGAAGTGAGACAGATTGTAAGAGTATGGAAACACAGAAGAAGGCAGAACATTCCACAGTTTGGCTGCGTGAGGAAAGAAGAAGGTACTATAACGGGTTATTCTAGTGTGACCGACATCCACGCAGAAACGGTGGTCACCGCCTTGCCGGCAGTACACAGGATGCCAAATTCACCGAACATTGCCCGTTAAAGTACCTGTAAAAGAGAATGAGTGAAGCAACATTGCAACGAGGAGAAAGGGAAGAGAGATTATCAACTAAAGTAGGAAAGTTAATAAGACGAGATGCCTTTGATTCCACCCTATCTAACAGTTGGACAGAAGAAGAGCCACCCTAGATTGATAACAGTGCTCCAAGTTAGGACGAATGAATCCCTTATAAACTTGAAGCAACTGCTCAGGAGTGAAGTAGCTACGGCATCTGTACAGCATACCCGGCTTTCGGGAGGCAGCTTTAGCAATGTTGTGGATGTGTGGCTTCCATGACATATTAGAGGAAATGGTGAGGCCTAGCATATCTATTTTAGAATTTGGCAAAACTATTGCGTCCTGAAATGTGATTGGTGGGAGATCCTCTATTTTGGAAAGTGTAATTGGTAAATTGATAAATTGGTAATTAGTAAATACTGTTTTATTACTATTGAATTTAACCAAGTCTCTACCTCCCCATTCGTAGATGCAACACTGATCTGCATTTATAGATAAAAGGATATCAGCTCTAGAAACAGATCTAGTTTGAGAATTAGGGGGAAGAGTAGAATCATCATCGTAAGAATGGATAGAAATAGTCGTAGTGTGAAGCAAATCATTGATAAAAAGAAGGAAGAGAGTAGGTGAAAGAACAGAACCCTGTGGGACACCATTATTGGCAGAGAAAGAGCGAAAGATTGATCCCTCGACAACAACTTCCATGGATCGGTTCTCAAAGAAGCTAACAATTAGAGAACAGTGTGGAGGAGAGAAACCATAAGAGGGAAGTTTAGAAAAGACTTGTGCCATACCCTGTCAAATGCTTTGGAGATGTTGAGAAGCCTAAAATAAGAGGAACCTAAAATAAGAGGAACCTAAAATAAGAGGAACCTAAGAGGAACCTAAAATAAGAGGAACCTAAAAAGAGGAACCTAAAATGAGAGGAACCTAAAATGAGAGGAACCTAAAATGAGAGGAACCTAAAATAAGAGGAGCCTAAAATAAGAGGAGCCTAAAATAAGAGGAGCCTAAAATAAGAGGAGCCTAAAATAAGAGGAAGCTAAAATAAGAAGAGCCTAAGATAAGAGGAGCCTAAAATAAGAGGAGCCTGAAATCAGAGGAACCTAAAATAAGAGGAACCTAAAATAAGAGGAGCCTAAAATAAGAGGAGCCTAAAATAAGAGGAGCCTAAACTAAGAGGAGCCTGAAATAAGAGGAGCCTGAAATAAGAGAGCCTAAGGAGCCTAAAATAAGAGGAAGCTAAAATAAGAAGAGATAAGAGAACCTAAGAAGAGCCTAAGAGAGGCCTAAGAGCCTGAAATCAGAGGAACCTAAAATAAGAGGAGCCTGAAATAAGAGAGCCTAAGATAAGAGGAACCTAAAATAAGAGGAGCCTAAAATAAGAGGAGCCTAAAATAAGAGGAGCCTGAAATAAGAGAACCTAAAATAAGAGGAGCCTAAAATAAGAGGAGCCTAAAATAAGAGGAGCCTAAAATAAGAGGAAGCTAAAATAAGAAGAGCCTAAGATAAGAGGAACCTAAGAAGAGCCTAAGATAACAGGAGCCTAAAATAAGAGGAGCCTGAAATCAGAGGAACCTAAAATAAGAGGAACCTAAAATAAGAGGAGCCTAAAATAAGAGGAGCCTAAACTAAGAGAAGCCTAAAATAAGAGGAGCCTAAACTAAGAGAAGCCTAAAATAAGAGGAGCCTAAACTAAGAGAAGCCTAAAATAAGAGGAGCCTAAAATAAGAGGAGCCTAAAATAAGGCACGAGAAGTCAGTTTAAAATGTCAGAATCTCAGTATCGAACTCTGATGAGGTTAAGTTAGGTTAGGTGTGGTTAGATTAAGTCAGGTTAGGTTCTATTATATTAGCTAAGGTTATGTAAGGTTAGGATAACATAATTAACTAAAATTACAAGGTGTCAGGTGAGGCTCCGTACCTGCCTTAACTCAGAGAGGGGGTCAGGTGTCTCAGCGGGTCACCTGAAGAAACGCTGGATTCATTACCCCAACTCTCGGCCAGGTACCTTGCTCACCTACCAGAGCTGACGCGTCCTGACTAGATGTCCTGACCAGATTTGTCCTGACCAAACCAGACCAAACCAAATGTTCCTGTTATATCTACTCAGCACTGATAGATAGATAGATAGATAGATAGATAGATAGATAGATATAGAAACGCTTGTGATCCATTAATATTTTATCAGATTAAGGACATGGAAGACTATCTTAAAATCTTGGGATAAATAAATAAAAAAAAATGCAAACAAACTGGTAAACAGATACACAGATAAATAAACAAATAAACAAGTAAATAAACAAGGCATGTACTGATCACTAGAAGAACAGCCCCATTCCCAACCATTGTAAAAATGATCAACAACTCATAATCAACCAGTGTATCACCAGTCAATCTTACCTATTTGCGCTGTCACTATTGTTGAAATGCCCTGTAGTATGACCTTCTACCTACTTAGTTATTATATATCATATTTGTATCACTTATGTTACTTGTATATTATTTATCAATCAAGTGACCCATTCACCAATTATGTAACTGTATATTTTCAGCCTTCTGCCTGCCATGCTCTTTCAATAAACAGTTAATTATTATTATTATTATTATTATTATTATTATTATTATTATTATTATTATTATTATTATTATTTTTATTATTATTATTATTATTATTATTATTATTATTATTATTATTATTATTATTATTATTATTATTATTATTATTATTATTATTATTATTATTATTATTATTTTTATTAGTAGTAGTAGTAGTAGTAGTAGTAGTAGTAGTAGTAGTAGTAGTAGTAGTAGTAGTAAATGAACACCACAAATAAACAC